CCCGTGGCTCCCCCCACCCCTACCCCCGGCTCCATCAAATGCAAGCCTCCATCCCGCTCAAGATTCAGAGAGGTATTTTGCACAAAACCGAGCTAGGGTTGCTCATTTGTTAAGCTTCTGAGGTTGCCCTAAAGTCATTTACTCCTGACCCTGGAGCCTCATTGGGGCGCAGTCAAGATGCACGGAGTCTGGCTCCTCCTTTTCCTGAAAGCGTCCCTGGCGCCAAAGCGTCCCGCATCAGGACGCAGGATGAACCCCTAAACTCGGGAGAGGCAGATCCTAGGGAGGAAGTATACACTGGAGAACGCAGTGACAGTATTAAATGGCGTGAAAGCAAAGGCCAGTGCAAATGTATCTTAATAGAGTGTCTGCAGTGAAGTGTGCCGCCTTTGAAGCGGCCGCTCCTCGAGCGCATTTCCATGGCGAGCCTAACGCAGCATGCTGATGCACCGTCAAACTCACACTTTCAACCCCAAAACCCGACTCTTTGAACAACCCGAGCTTGATTAGACCTTTCTCCTTTTCTTTCCCCTCTTACAAACCATTTCCTCGCCTTTAGAAACTCGCCATCAAACCCAAATGCGCCCTCTGATCACCGCAGAAAGAAGAAACAAAGGCGCTGAGCGGCGATTCAAGCGGCCCTTTTCTTCCCTCCACATTATTATCCATTTTTATTATGATCGGGAACAAGTGCCCATTCGCGTGGGTTTTGTTTACCGGAAATTAAATGAAAATGATTTAGTCCGCGTCAAACAAAAATATATACTTGTATACACAAGAAAAAAGGCCTGTTAGACGTAAATATTATGTCCTTAATGAAAAGCCTGGACGGGCTCCAGGCTCAGCCTTTCAGGATTTCAGTGCGACTTGCCTATTGCCATAGAAATCCTAACTTACCATGAAGATGCACCGTGGCGAAGAAACACTGCTTTGTGCGCGGGCCTTTGATGTCGCAGGCGCGAGATGTGGGCACTCAGCTGCGCGGGGCGAGATTACCTTGAGAGCAACGCGGTGGGCATCTGTAACAAGCAAATGAAAAATTAAAGGCGATTAGTGGCCGACCAAACATTTTTATTTTATTTCATTATTTTGGGTTGGGGTGGCAGGTAAATTGGAGGTGGGGGTGGAGTTAGAAACATAAGAGAAAGAAACTAGTCCTGTTTGAGGAGGGGGAACTTTGTGAACATCGGCAGAAGAAAGTTCCGCAGCCACTCTCCGCACCTGGGCCGTGGGGCTGGTGTTCCATGGTGGGAACGAGTTTTTGCTTCGACCGTCCGCGCTGGGTCAGGCAGCCTCTGGGCCCTATTGTAGTGGGGGAGGAGGGAGTTGCAGTCCCCCTTCCTCCACGACGGATTCACTAAGGATATATTTGGAAGATTTCGGTTTTGATTAGGGGTAATGAAGACAGTCCCACTCCAGTGGATGTTAATTTATCTGATTGAAGTTGTGGAGACTGTGGGGCAGGAGTGAGAATTGTCTAATGGTGTCTGAAAAGAGCAGAGCAGAAAATCCAGCAGAGTGGCAGGGCCAGGTCTTGTTTGCTGGGCTCAAGTTTTAAAATTGGGCTTCTTGGGGCTCCCCCCAGGGGAGAAGTATTCCATCCCCCCC